CCCGACTCTCATCTTCGACTTTCACCCCTTCTACCCCCTGCTTCAAGGGGGCTGCGCACAGCTCTTACCTTCGCGTGAAAAGTAGTTGCCTTCCTAAATAGAGAAGGAGACGGGATAAATCTCGTTTCGCGAGATCAGTACCTTGATCTTGGATTACAATGTATTGATATACGTTTGTTTTGATTTCTTCAGTCATTGTGAATAGTATCGATCGGTATGTTTCAGTTAATCTCAGTCAGTATATGAGTGCTTTGTATCCATTACATGATAATTAAATTTATTTGCAAATATGTTGATTACATTTTATTACTATTTCTTGTTGAAGAGAGGGGCTGGAAGTCGAATGTGAGAGTCGGGCGTTCCTGAAGCAGGGGGGACAGAGGTGAGAGTCGGGCACCCCTGAAGCAGAGGGAGGGGGGTGAGAGTCGAAGGTGAGAATCGTGTGCCCCTGAAGTAGGAGGAGTTAGAGTCGGAGGTGAGAGTCGTAAGCCCCTATAGTAAAAAGAAGTTATTTCATAAACTTCTTTTGTTTATAACTTCTTAATGAGTAACGTCCTGCAATTAAAACTTCCTCAGGGTCACTCGGGGTCATGACCTTGACAACATATGTCAAAGTCAAGGTCATTGGGGGGGCTCCCCTAATCTACATATTTACCATAACTTTTTCTAATATCTGTCAGAAAGCAGATTTGATTGGCATTATGGAAATAGCTTCTTTCAAAAATCAATTTTGATATGAAAACCAAATTTTTCATTCTAAAATGAAATTTATTCTAAAATTCATTCTTAAGTTGTTCACAATGTAATAAATATTTGTTTTTCTTATTTTTATGATTTATATCATCCCGTACAATGTACGTCTACAAAACACGATTAGTTTTCTATTATTATTAATAAATCGATTAATGTTAATCAAAAGAAGATTACAAACATATGACTTACTTGTTCCTAGTCATAATTTCCAATTTCTAATTTCATCAGAAACTATAACAATTTTCATTACAATCCTATTTATGCGTTTATGTGAATAATAACAACGACGACGATAATGATGATAACAATAAATATTCTTCCATAAATGAGTTTAATTATCTATAATACTAATATGTAATTTCATGAAATTTCATTATAATCAAAAATTAAATTTATAAAGATATTGATATTTTCATTTCTACAGTACGTTTCTCAAATTATTACAATAATTATTTTAAAAATCGATTTCTTCGAAACTATAGGCCAATGGCTGAAACGGCCGGACACGTATCGTTTTTTTTTCGCTCAAGAACAACATGTAAAAAGTGCATAAAAATCCCCGACCCCGTCACCTGGTGTTTCCCTTGCAAGTTAAATATATTTTCATATAATTTTTGAAAAAATTGGTGTATGGGACATTTTTTAAAGCAACAATTGTAGAAAAGAAACACACTTCGCTTTTCAATTGACAAATAAAAAATTATTTTTTTAAATTGCACAATATACACTACTCATCAAAAAATACTAAATAGGGAAAACATTTGAACATGTTTAAAATTGCGTAATATTCAGAACACTATAATTCGGTGAAAAATCATCGCAGGCAATCAAAAAATCATTTGAAAGTTTGAAAGCTGTACTTTTGAAATCGGTAACTGATATTTCAATTCGACTGATCCTTTACGGAGCTATACGGACACAAAAGGATACCTGTCAAATCTGAAAATTTTGTATGAACTTTACAAAGTTCTATGGCGTGAAGTAAAAATCACACAAAAATGCGGTTTACAGTCGAAAGAATAAATCTGCACGATTTTTTTTCAACGAGTTATTCAACATTGGAGCAAAAGCGATCATTTTTGCTTTAACGTTCAATTACTCGGTGAAAAAAACCATACAATGCTAAATAAGAAAGGAAATTGAAGGTAAAGGTTCACTCTTTTGACTGCTGTAAACCGTATTTTTGTATGATTTTTATTTCACGCCATAAGTCTTCGTAGTTTTTTTTATAAAATTTTCAAATTTGACGGATATCCATCTGTGTCTGTATAATTCTGTAAAGGATCAGTCAGATTGAAATACCGATATCAAAAGTACAGATTTCAGACTGTCAAATGATTTTCTGATTGTTTGTCTACGATTTTTCATCCAATTACGGTGTTCTGAATGTTGCTCAATGTTGACCGTGTTCGAAAGTATTCCCTATTTTTTTGTGAGTAGTGTATGTTGTGCAATTTTAAAATAATTTTTTATTTGTTAATTAAAAATCGAAATGGGTTTCTTTTCTATAGTTGTTGCTTTAAAATTCCCATACACAAATCATTTTAAAAATTATATGAAAATATATTTGACCTATACGTTATTACTAACATAAATATACGTTTATTACTAACTTGATTACTTATTGCAGAAAAAAATTGAAAAGAAAGCTGGATTTGAATTAGGGATTTCCAACGATCCGACTTCGATCACAAGAACTTCTTGTTAATCAGATCTATGAACGAGGTATATAACGCGCATGAAAAATCGTAAACAATTAAATTTCTTATAAACTTTTGACATGATTTATATTATTCTGAATTAATAGAGAGGTATACTATTATTACAATTTATTAAAACTTAAACAGGGTTCGACAAGTTTTAACAAAGCGCTCGTGTGTAGATAGAACGGGCTAAATTGAATCGAAAAGCCCTCTACCATTTTGCAATTTTCGTAATAGTTAACAAGATTATTAATTATTAAAAAATTGATTATTAAAAATCGTTGAATATTAGTTTTCAATAATGTTTTATTCAAATACTATCAACTTTACAGAAAACCAGTAAGAAACAAAAATTGTTTATTTTCTCCTTCATAAAGTTCAGAGAATTGTTTAATATCATATTTTCTCATGTTGGTAAAAAGTGTTGCTAATAAGAAAATGCAGTACTAAAAAGTTAATAAAAAATTCTGAAAAAATTCTTAGAGCTCTATGAGAAGAAAATAAGCAATTTTTGTCTCTTACTGGTTTTCTGTAAAGTTGATAGTGAGTAAAAAATTGTTAGTAATTAACATCTTATTAACTATTGCGAAAATTGCAAAATGGTAAAGGACTTTTCACAATGCTCGACTACACACGCAAAAGAGACTAAGGATGTTATTTATACATTGGGTTGGGGAGGGGGAGGAAGTTCTCCCTCATACGGTTTATTCATCAAATCTCATCCCGTCGGTTATCACCTATTTTGGTCGCTCCAACATCATCTGGATGATGAGCACTTTAAGGTTCCTGAGTATTCACTTCAGTCATATTGAATCGTGACGTCATAAGCGAGAAATGTGTCATAAGCGACACGTTGATTTTTCTTGCATGCTATTTGTAAATAAAGAGAATTTGGATGAAATGAAATGATAAGATCGCTTTAAGACACTTGTAAAAATGGACGAAAACTATCCTTATCTCCCTTGACAGTCAGTAAGTAGTCGTAAAAGGCACGTAAAATGCGTTCATTTTTACTCAATGCGCATGAGTATCTTATTTTCACTTCACGAGCCTTTTTCGATTCTTTACTGATTATCATGACAGGAACAGCCTGTATATATAATGGTCACAAACTTTTAGCCAAGAGTAGATAAAAAATATCAAATTATCACTTATATATACTTCTAAAGATATTCCTTCAATCACATCCATAGGATCTATTACATTTCCCAAAGATTTACTCATTTTTCTTCCATGCGCATCTCTCACCATTGCATGCAAATATACTTCCCTATAAGAGAAAAATATTTTATATGAGACGTATATTCCAAAATGTATATTTCATTTCTTTATACATAAAAGTATGGACATTGAATGCGTTTATAATACACATACTTAAAAGGCAACCGTCCTAATAATTTTTGGCCCATAAAGACCATCCTGGCAACCCAAAAAAAGAGTATATCATGGCCAGTTTCTAACAGTGTACCAGGATAAAATGCTTTGAGCTCAGGGGTCTGAAAAATACATTTGATTTTAGAAGTGTTTTTTATTTTTAATTTCATTTAGTGTGTAGTTTTGTTTCTCAATTCACTGTATTTTTTATGACATACATACTTTATCTGGCCAACCAAAAATGGAAAATGGAAAAAGAGCAGAAGAGAACCAAGTGTCTAATACATCGGGATCTTGCTCCGCAATAATGTCGTTTACATTAACATTTAATTTCTTAGCCGCTTTCTCTCTAGCCTCAGCCTCAGAATGCGCACTTACCCAATATTCATCTATCTATATAAGACCATCTTTGACTCATTATGAAACTATCCGCTTAAAAATCATTTTGCGCAAAAAAAACCATAATTTCTGAAAATTACCTTTTTCATGTTCTCACAAGAATTGATAAATTTAATTGCATAAGCAGGAATCCGATGGCCCCACCAGAGCTGACGCGAAATACACCAGTCTCTAATACCATCCATCCAAATATACCAAGTTTTCTTAAATTGTTCTGGAATTATTTTCAGAGCACCCGTGTTTACCGCTTCCCTAGCTTGTGCAGCCATTTCGTCGCATTTAATATACCTAAATACAAAAAGAAATTAGATAAATTTCTTTAAAAAAGCTTAACAAATATAGTACACATTGAATTCATTTACCATTGTGGTTTTATGAGAGGTTCGACGACATCTTTCGATCGACTACATATAGGTATTACCATTGGATTATCCTTTACATCGATTAACAGATTTCTTTTTGTCATCTCTTTAATGATAGCCACTCTGGCTTCAAATCTTTTCATTCCCTGTAATTAAGAAATCTATTATACAGGGTGTCCCATAATTCATTAGACAGAGCTCGTGGACAGGTAGAGCGGACTAAATTGAGATGGAAAGTACTCTACCATTTTACAATTTTCGCAATAGTTAACGAGATATCAATCTCCAAACATCACCAAACATCAATGAACGTACACTTGATAATAGTAGGCCAGGCGGACGCGCGTATTCGGTGATGTTTAGAGATTGATATCTCGTTAACTATTGCGAAAATTGTAAAATGGTAGAGTACTTTCCGTCTCAATTTAGTCCGCTCTACCTGTCTACGAACTCGGTCGGATGAATTATGGGACACCCTGTATATAATGCATACAAGACGAGGGGGTAATCACTTAATGTAATTGTGAGAGTCTTCGAGATTATTATAAAATTCGTATGAAATCTCTATGTATAACCCAATAATTACGTATGCAACCATGAGAAATCATTGTATGATATTAAACAAAATTGTATATTTTACCAAATGACTTCATATGTAGTGAAAAAAATTATTTGTAATTAGATGAAATCATATAAGATCAAATGAAATTATATAATCTATGGGACAATATTTCAACTAGTGGTTACCCCCTCGATACAAGGTGTTCCAAAAAGGTCAGGACACCTGAATATCTCGGAAAATATAAGTTTTACAGAAAAGTATTTCAGATAAAAGTTGTAGGATTAAAAAAAATCTATTTACTGATCTTATCAGTTTGACCTTGGGTGGCATCATCAAAGTCAGGTCAAGATCACGTTGATTTTTTTTAAATGGAACACCCTACTTTTGATTCCAGAATCTAATAGATGATGTCAAGAGCTTTCCAAAATACTATAATAAAATTATTTTTTATTCAGCACTTTTCGAGTTATAAAGCTCGAAAGTTACAATACCGTCGGCATTAGATTATTTTTCTTATTTTCATTTTTGCACTAAAAATTCATTTTTATGTAAAAATGAAAATACGAGCTACAACTTCCAATGGCTTTGATTTTGACAAATAATATCAAGGACATGATTCCGAACAACATTCAAGAGGTTTTAGCCATCGATCGGACACCTTGCATAATGCTAATGCTGGCCGTTCTGTAACTTTCAAGCATCGTAACTCAAAAAGTAAACAATATTTTTTATAGCATATTGGAAAGCTTTCGATACCAGCTATTAGATTCTGGAATCAAAAGTAAGGTGTTCAATTTAAAAAATCGATGTAACCTTGACCTGACCTTGGCGACGCCATCCAAGGTCAAACTGATAAGATCAGTAAATAAAATCTTTTTGAACCCTACAACTTTTGTCTGAAACACTTTTCTGTAAAACTTATATTTTCTAAGATATTCAGGTATCCGATGTTTTTGGGACATCCTATAAATATTTACTTCAACGTTCATAAAATCTCGAAAAAGTTCCCTATATCATATTTATAAATTTTAAAAAAAAAATATATATATAATACCGTGAATTTTCCATAATCTCCAATAATATTTCCATCATCATCAAAAATATTGATGAATGGCAAATTGTACCTCTTTCCAACTTCATAGTCATTCGGATCATGAGCTGGCGTAATCTTTACAGCACCTGCAAAATAAATGAGTTATTCTTGGCCTAGTCTACTTTCACTATAATTTTACTTTTACAATAGATTTACTTTCAATATTTTATTTATGATTCAATATTTTATTTATAATTGAACTATACCTGTGCCAAATTCCATATCGACAAACTCGTCTGCTATAATAGGTATATGTCTGTCACAAAACGGATGCTGTACATATTTTCCAATATATCGAATATATCTACTGTCCTTTGGATGTACCGCAATAGCGGTGTCTCCTAACATGGTTTCAATACGAGTGGTCGCCACAGTTATTTTATCTTCTGAATTAAGGAGCTGATAAACGAACGACACCAAAATCCCAAATTCTACTTTCTTTTCGTAGCCAGGTATAGAAAAAAGAGTCCGCCCATTTAATTCCACTTTATCGACCTTTTTTCAACAAACATGTTTTTAAAAATTTTCGAATTTAATTCACAATTCTTTGTAAAATATACATTTGTTAAAGAAGTATCTATGTACATGGTACTCACTTCAATATCTGAAATCGCACTTTTTAAAGCACAAGACCAGTTAACTAAACGATTGCTGCGATAAATAATACCTTCATCGTGCAAACGCACAAATGCTTCTGTTACGGCTTTACATAATTTAGAATCCATTGTAAAACAAGCACGGCTCCAATCGAAGGAACCACCTATCTTTCTCAACTGTGAATAAATTCTATCGCCTTTTCTAAAAAAAAAATATTTCAAATAGGTATCTTGATTAAATACACTCACTCGCAAAAGAAGCAATACACCGAAAAGTTAGGAAAGATATATATATATATATATATAGGGTGGACCATCTGAAGTGATCCAGTCAAATATCTCGAAAACTAGTAGGGATAGAGAAAAATGTTTCGTATGAAAAGTTTAGGGTTACACGGGGGAAGTATGATTTCGCGTTATCGACGTCAGCTCATCGATCCGTGAATTCATTTGCTCGTAAAGATTTTACTATTCCGTCGAGCCGCGCGAGAAACGATAAAAAGGTTTTTTCCTTTATGGGGTTTAGTGGCATCTCTTTTCTGTCTCTAACGACATATATTACAACTTCGATAAAGAATTAAAAATAAAAATTACAACGATATTATTAAACTTAAATATTATAATTGTTTTTGAAACATACGTGTGTCTTAATCTTGCATTGATCAAACTAATTAGTGAATTTTACATAATCAACAATCATCACTCGAATATAATCTGTCAAACAACTCGCGAATTCACGTGAAAAAATATAGAATTGATTTCCTTAAAGAAACGCTAAATAAATGTATATTTTAATTGTAATTGTGTTTTTATTATAAAATAAAATGTTCGCACATTGATTTACATAAATTAGATATTATTTTTTATTATATAACCTTTTATGTGTATTTAATATAAAAAGATGTGACAATTGTTATATCTTTTATTCTGAACGGAATAACAATCCATTATTGTTCGGTACACTTTTAGACAAACGAGATTCTTGATAACATTTCGAACGTGTTTCTATATACACTACGTTGACTACACAAATCGCACTTTTGTACGCGCTTTTCGTACGGAAAACAAAATTTACATATAACGCTGGCTTCATATAATAAATTAAAATGCGCTTATACGGCGAGAATGATATTAATTAAAACTGTGAGATTTGCATTGATTATAATGTGCCACTAATTGAAAGCGACTTATCCGCACGTTGCATTAAAATGTAAATCAAATCTCCAGCGTCATGGGCATTCATGTTCGTGCCAATAAAGCAAGAACGCTATAAAGGTACAATAGAAAACACATTTGCCAAATTGCCTCTATACATATTTTTCTTTGTTTTTAATTGAAATGTATTATTATATGAAGCAACATTTATCGGAAATTTTATTGGATTTACACAATGTGCAAATGCCGTATATTAACTATATTACAGAAATAATAAATATGTATGTCCTACTATCATAATTAATTTTTACTTTACTGATATTCGCTATATTTAGAATTCGCACCGTGTTCGAAACAAAGAAACAAAAATGTAATTTAATTTATCCTAACGATATAATTGGTTTTTGTTAATTTAATCAATAATATATCGATTTCATTTATACATATAAACAAATCTTATTTCCGATATATATATATATATATATATATATATATAAGACAACAAAAATAAAAATATGAATAAAGATATATAAAATGAAGCTTTAAGTATCCACTAAATATTTGAATGGCAATTAAGTTTACCAACGGTAATCTACGATGTTCCTTGTTTCCTATTTCTTGTTTCCTGTTTCCTTTGTCTCTTTTTACCACGTTTTATTTTTTACCTCCTTGCCCAGTTTTTTCATTTTCTGTCGGCCGAGATAAAAGTTGACGCACTTCGGAAGAGACAAGAAACACATAAAGGCTGCGGTCCACTTAGCGCTTCAAACGCTACAGAGCATTTGTAACACTGATATGACTGGTTCATTTGATGCTTCAGAACGTTCCCAGAAACTCTGATTACGTCATCAATACGTCATCGTTTTTGCTCCCACTTCGCTTCAACTGCCTTACCTCGGGAGGTGGGTTGGCTGGAGCGTTCACGTAGCAATTGTAGTATTCGAAATAGTAATGGACCAATCGGAGCGTAGCGTTTGGAGCGTAACGTTCAGAGCATTTGGAAGAAGCAAGTGGACCGCAGCCACAAAAACGCAATTATCGATAAAACGATCGCAAAGAAGGAAAAAGACATAAGATAAAAAACAAGAAACAGGAAGGAAAAATACATTTGTAAATTAGGCTTTATGTTTGACTATTCATTTCAAATGATTAAATGAGAAAATGTAAAATTGATAATCAAAGATACGAGCTTGCGACGATGCATGGTGTGAATCAAGTGTCGCAACCCAATGGGATAAAATGTAGGTACATGAAAGTATAGAATTTTATGGGTTCGACTCTCGCCCGAGGTAATATTTTTCGCAATTCTATTTAGTTTTTCAACACATTAACATCTTTCTAATATAATGCCTGATTGAGCATCAAATTATTAAAAATTACTTGTCAATTTAATTTAATTCGTGATATTAGAGTATAGTAGTTTATAAGTCCGGAAAACCAATTCAGCGCGCAGTTGGAATTACTACAAATATGGTATATATGCATGTACATACAGTGGCGTACAAAAGTTTTCGGCCAGTGACAATTTGTACTTTATAAAAAAAAAGCCTGATAAAAAATTTTCATTATTGTTAGTTGTTAGTATAAGATATTGGTAACGAAATAATGTAGTGAAAGGAAATTGTTTGTATTCATGAAAATACTTATTATTATAATTGTGATATTTACATGTGCAAAAATTTCCGGCCACTTAATATATTTAACCCACAGTAGAATTCTAATGATTTGTTTACATATGGTATCGTATTCATTAGTTACACTTAGTTCACATAGAGTCATCGAAGCGTAAGCGTGGCTCGGCATACGCAAATCCAAATTCGCGAGAAAATAATTAAGTTTTCAAAAGACGGAAAGTTTTTTCGTGAGATCGCTTCATTGTTATCAATCAACCATAAATGACATTATTGTCAAAAATCGTGCTGGATACGGATTAAAAGATCGTCCGCATAATGGAAGGCCACGAAAAACATCTAAAAAGTAGATCGTGTCATTAAACGCAAATTAACTGCGGATGTTAAGAAAACTGCTGCCGAAAATGCACGCGAGCACAGGATGAAAAACCTTGCCGATGTTAGCCGTAGTACTGCACTGTTAGAAATGTTCTTAAATTTCATTAAGTTTTAATGTACATTGGTGAATAAAGTTTAATTTCTCTGTAACTGAAAGGACTATTAATGCACATGTTAATGAGATTTAAGTTTACAGTAATTGAAAAATTAAGTGTAATGAAATTTAATATACTTTTCATTTACGGATATAAATAACATTTAATTAATCGTAATTGAAATAACTATTAATGTACATATTAATGACATTAATGAAACTTAAAAGTTAAGCGTGTTGAAATTTAATGTACTTTTACATTTACGAATATTAATAATATTTTAATTAAGCCTAATACTATTAACGCTTAACGTTTAATATGTTTACGTTTCTTACATGTCATTAACGTAAATTACTTTTCAGTTACAGATCTCGTACTTTTCATTAACGTGTAAATTAATTTCTATAATAATGTGTTCATTAATTTCAATACACACGTTCATCACATTTAAGACTATGTAATTTAGTTTTTATTTACATCATTCATTACATTTAATTTCGTGCATAACCACATGCTTCCTTTACATGTTAATTAAAATTCATTGAGAAATTTCTAACAGTGTGTGACACGAAGGCTATAGGACTTTTCAACCGTATAGGTACTAAAAAGCTATTAATCAGTAAATAGAATAAGAAGGCTCGATTATATGGTTTGGTATGGGTATGGGAATAAGTTTCCGCCCCTTTTAAATGAAAAAGATGTATTTATTTAAACAAAACAATACAAAGTAAGTTCATTCAAAGTATGCTCCATCAGAAGCGACAACTTTCCCCCACCTTTCAGGTAATAAACAGATTCCTCGAAGGAAGAAATCTGGTTCTTTTGAAGCGATCCATTTATCAAGCCATTTTTTGATATCTTCATAAGAATTGAGTCGCTCTCCAGAAAGGGCCGACAGCATGGACCGGAACAAATGGAAATCTGAAGGAGCAATGTCCGGTGAATACGGCGGGTGGGGCAGAATTTCCTACTTCACTCCTTCCAAGTATTTCTTGACCGGTTTTGCAACATGTGACATAGCGTTGTCACGTAGCAGAATCAGCTTATCGTGCCTATTGTCCCATTCCTATTGTTTTTGTTTCAAAGCTTAGTTCAAATAAATCGCTTCGAACGAATATCAACTACTGGGCTCAAAAGCTTGAACACACACCTTTCAAATACATGTATTGCCGTTTTATCAAACACACAAGCAGTGCTACTAACGACATCTCTCTAATGGGCGGAAACTTATTCCCATACCTAATATATATAGAGTTTACTAAAGATCATCAAAATTGGACAGTCGAAGATTGAAAAAAAGTAGCTTTCTCAGTCGAATCTAAATTTAACTTTTTTGGAAGTGATGGTAGACAGCATGTATGACGTCTTATTGGTACCAGAGATGATGTTCGATCAAATTCCTACTATAAAGCACGGTGGAGGAAGTGTGATGGTTTGGGGAGTTTTCTCTGCAGAAGGAATCAGTCCACTTGTAGAGATCAATGAACGCAGAAGGACATTTTAGAACAATATTTATTAACATATGCTGAAAAAACAATGCCACAGAACTGAATATTTCAGCAAGATAATGACCCCAAATACACATCTAAGTTATTCAAGAACTGGTTTTCTGATACAAATGTGAAAGTTTTAAGTTGGCCATCTCAATCACCGAACCCGATAAAACACTTATGGGAACAGCTAGATCGTCAAGTTCGAAAGCATACACATTCAAATAAAGCCGCATTATTGAAATTTTTGTGTGTGTGTGAAAGAAGAATGGAATAAAATTTCACCTGCTTATATTAATTGACTAATTGAATCGATGCCACATCGTTGTGGCGCTGTTGTTGCTACAAAGGGTATGGCCATAAAATGTTGATATCTAAACATAGTTTAAACTGACTAACGTGCATTATAGAATGTATGGACTAATAATTTTTCTCGTAATACAAAGTAACCAG